TGAACTTTTTCCACAAACGGGCGCAAACTCACGGCGTTCAGCCAGCTTCCAGCAGCGCACCGCGGATCCGACTGATCGGCGACAAGGTGTTTGCGGACGCACTGCTCAAAATTGCGGCAGAGATCCCGAAAGCTGAATACGTCGGCAAGCAATTCTTCAATAATTGGCAGCAACTCCTGAAAGATCACAGGCGTTAAATCACTGCGTGAAAAACGGGCTTGAGATTTTCATAATTAACTAACTAAATAAGCATCTCGTTATGCTCATCTTTGCGCAAATATAGAATTACGCTAACCCTAGATGGTTTCGAAGCTTGTCAACAAATTTGCTCAACTCTGTTACATGGATGTAGATACAGGTTGATCATCCCTAAACCGAAAAGCTCGGGATCAAGACTGTTTCGGATTTTAAATTTTTCTGGACTTTACAATAAATTATACGGTGGAGTTGAAGAGAACCGAGAAAAAGTTTAGGGAATCGATGAAGAAACTATGAAACGGGTCACAAAATGACGAAATAAAAATGGTTAAAACCATTTAACAGTTTTTTCACCCAAATTCTCCACTTTAACACACAAAATAACGAATCTGTTTCCTTTGAATAAAAATACTTATGGCCTAAAACAGTGAGTTCCTATCCGAAAGGGTTGCCTGCTGTGAGAGTGAAGTTACAGATATTAGAAAACGGCACAGCAGCTACATGCGAATCACAAAAACGCAACATTTACTTATTCTACATACTGAAACGACCCGGATTTCGATGCAGTACATCATTAGGTACAGAAACAATTTTCTACTGCTTACACCGGTTAGAATGGAGGAGGTCGAGAAATGGGAAGGAAAAGGAGACGGAAACTAGGAGTTCATGGGTTTTCATTATAAAATTCAAACATGAAAATAAGGTGTTTGACGCGTTCTCCCCTTTGACCCTGCGAACAAAATGAGTAATGACCAAGTGTGCTCTCGAATCAGACGTAGAAAACTTCTGATAACGCTTAACCATCCGTTTTCTCTTCGTTATGGACGAAGGGAGGCTCTTTTCTGACTAGCTGGATATCGGAATATACAACTGCAATGCAAGGTTGAGAGGAAGAGCGACGGGAAGAGTTTTACGGTCGTTGTTCATATTATCCAAAGATATTTCAAAAACCTCAGGACTGAGAAGCGAGTAAATACAATGTTACGGATTTCAGAATATTATGAATTTTCGGATTGGGGATATTCAACCTGTATTAATCAACTGAAAACAGCCTGCCACCAAAAGTAAACTTTTACCACCGAAGGTTAAAATAGCATACACATATCTTTTATCCTGATTATGGAACCGGGACCTGGAAAAAAGCCTCCTAGGCCTCGAGAAGCAAGGTCATGATGAGACAACGCCGTGCAAACCAACACGTCAGGAATAGTGATACGCATGACTCTGGCAAGAATGTCATAAATGTCACAAAATTAGGTCGTTAGATGTACTACGGCATAAAGAAATAAGGTAACCGATTTCTTATAAAATACCTTCACAAGTCATAGTGTACCTCAAAATGCCACTATGAAATTCACCTACATCTATCGAACCGGCATGCTCTGTCGGTAGAGCATTGGACCCAGAGCAGCAGTCGGGTCATCAGCCTTTTTTCCTTCCGAGGCTGATCAAAAATACAACCCAGTGGGAAGCAATCAAAGACTACCCCAGAGCTATGGGCTATGCCTTCAAAACAAGGCACATCTGGCTAATAGCATAGAAACGGAGATCAGCGTCGCACTAAAATGGCTCTCACTCAAGAAAGCGAGAGCAAAGTTGGCGGATATCCCAACAGTTAAAACTTCCTTAACGTATTTCCTTGCCTTCCTTAATTTTTCCTACTTCTGCCTAGGCACAAAACGAGGCGTACATTACAGGCATGACGAGGAAGTTGCAAGAGGCTCTGGCACTATAATCTACAAGACAAAACCTTGAAATTGAAAACGTGGTCACACTTTGTGCTAACTATTACACTGGGTAGTTAGCTATCAGGTGGATCAAGGCGAAGTGCAGTCACGAGGAGCGAGCACAGCCAAACAGTTCGTCCATTATGGTATGACCAGGCCAAAATACAAGCCTGACCCTGATATTTGCAAATCAACGACTTACTACACGTTTCACAGCTACACCAAAGAAACGTTAATTAAGTTCCTTACTCAAGAGAATTCACTGTTAAAACAAAGAATATCACTTGAGCGGATTCGAGCTCGAAACCTGCGGAGCTCAAATCCGGTTTCTTAACCATTATGCCCCGCGACTTTAATCACATCTATTCTCTAATCTAAATCTAATTCAACGACCATCATACACCAGCCACACAGATGAACCGCTCACAACAATAACTGCTTTGTACTAGTTTTGCATTCTTGTCGGCCAATGACTACTGAAATATTAGTCAGTAGCGGCTGATTAATTACAACATTCATAGTAAAGAGTAAAAATTTTAACATCTATTTCGTTGATTGTTTCAACAACTCCGCCATGGCCGGTCCCAAGCCCGGATGAGAAAGGAGGAGGGTTGGAGACCGTGGCAAGTCTCCGTAAAATCCAGCCACACGTCACTCATGGTATTGACGCCATTGAAAATTACACCGGCTCCGTCGTCGCCCGGGTTAATAAGGGCCGCGCAGGCTATTGGGGGAGTGAGGCAGACTCCGAAAAGTCCGCGATCAGAATCTGCCCATTGCCCTCTGCCAGCCGGGGGCGTGGCAGCACAACAACGGTTGACAAAGACCGACGCAACAACGACGAAGATACCAGTCAGCAACGGAGTCGCTACCCGTTCTGAACGGAGGAGGC